CAGGCAATAGCCCCATGCGATTATCGATTATATTTTCTGTTGTTTGTGTGAAATATTTTGTTGTTATCAGTATTCTTCTTTTAATCAAAATATGTTGAAATAAGTGAAACTAAAAAAAAATGCCAGAATTACCATTTAACACATTTTTTGTTTTCTAAAATTGTTTCCCCTCAGTGTAAGGTCTCTTCGTAGCAGACCTGGCGAACTTCGTCCCAAAATTCATTTTTTTACTGAAATATTTTGGTCCAACATTTTCACCAACAATTTACGTTCACGATTTCCATTGATACATGTATCTGCTAATATTACGGCTTACTGAATGTCAGAAGGCATATTTCCATTGTCGTATTTAATAACCTAACGAAAGTGTATGTTCGTGAAGAAGTTATTGAAATTCTCCAATGATCTGGCGTTTCACAGCACGGTTATCGCAAAACGCAATAAATTTGAAGAACTTTTTCTTATTCACTCCCTGGCAGCAACAATGATCTTGTTCGAGGGCAAATCTGTCCTTGAAACTGTATGGTAGTTGGCGGCAATTTAAAAATTGGTGAGTATCGTGGTTCTATAGGTAACCAATATACACAGACTTATTTCAGTCGAAATACCTTAAAGCTCTTATCAAGTAGCGCAATGGTTCTGATGGTAGATTAAATGGTGGTCATTTGAGATTGACCCCTGGACAACACAATCCTGGTGTATCCGAATGAAGCTCGCAAATAACGTTCATGGGGCCAATCGCAAAAGACGGGAGCTCGGCGTACTCGGTGGTACAGCATGTCGATGTAATCGGATATTCACGGCACTTTTTCTCACTTGACGATTCTTAGTAAGAACTCGACCCCAGCATCACCCGGCGGCTGTTTTTTGCAATAGTATTGCCCTTACCGTTACCAATACATAAATATCTCGAATATAAGCCAGATCGGATCATAACTAAGATTTTTAACAATAACACCACTCCAGCGCCACCTGGAAGGTCAAACTGGGGATCTGAACAACTACGAAGAGACCTTACACTGAGGGGAAAAAATTTTAGAATAAAAAAACGTGTTAAATTAAAAAAATACGCATATGAAAGAGCACCAACCCAATTTAAATTTGAGTATGTACGTTATAAAATACGTCGTTGAAAAGTGCACAGATGCTTTTTTGTAATTAAGAAGAAAAAAATTTAATTTTATGTTCCGTCTGATGGTAACTGAACCCGGACCCTCTAGGCAGCAATCAATTGTATCAAGCGTCTTTGCTCACTCAGCTACAGCCATACATGTAAATGTGCTTTCAAATGTTGTACAGATAAACATGTACCATGTATGTGGGTATGTGTGTATCAGAGAACAGCTTTGAGTATGATCGAGCCGTTTTGATCACACTCACTAAAAATCAAGCACAAGCGAACGCCACACTC